TATCAGGTAAAGGAATAATACTCCTAAAATCAATTGTTTGGAAATTGAAATTTGTAAATCTGAAAAACTGACCAGGCCAGCCACTGTCATTTTTGGAATTTTAAAAATATAATAAATGTCACTGAGACCTTGATTTCCCATTGAACAGTAAGTAATGCAGATATGTAGTTAGCACTAGCAGAAGAGACCAAATCAAACATTTGGGTGAATTTCGTCAGCAAAAGTGTTTTATAACCATGGCAAGAGATTTGACTGATCATGTGCTATGCATATATAAAATAATTTATGTAATTCCTTTGAACCCATGTAGCAGATGTTCGAACAATCTTTATTAGCACAAAACTGTCCTTGTTCTCTGCTAACATATGGAGTGTCATCTAGAAGCCCTAGGATCCTGGCAGATCGGATGGGTTCCTCTTTTCTTTTTTTTTTTGCAAAACTTTATTGAAATGTCATAAGTGATATTCTAAAACAATTTACTTACCACAGTGGTATTGTGGTGTGTTTTTGCATCACAACAATGTGGTATGACCTGACAGAGTAGGAAACAAGGCTTTTAGCACTGTCTATGCATTTGGTCTGAGCTGGAAATAGCTACCAGTATCACTGTCCATTCACAGATTGGGGACAGATCCAGGGCAACCTGGGCTCAGAGTAAAGCCCCGTACATACGATGGGAGTATTGGACGAATGATCGTTCCTTTTGTTTTGGCATGCTAGTCTCATGTTGAAAATGAAGAGGTTACTAAAGTTACAAAAATTCTTGTACGAGAGAAAAAAATTCGGAAGCGATGTAATGTATTGTATTTTTGGACAAAAACTGTACTGATCAAACAAAAATTGTATGATCTGGTAACGTGCAAGAAAAATGTTCGTGCTTGTCCCTTTGGGACGAAAGCTGTGTACTAACAATTTTTCGTACGATTTTCTGATCAAGTCTACTAGGCTTTAGTGGGTTGAATAATGTTGGTCATCAGACTGAGGACATCTAGTGGTAGAAACAAGTACTGCAGGGGAAGTCTCTGGATTGAAGGTGAATATTATAGCAAAACTTGCTTTTATTATTTCACCTTTAATGGGCTATTCATTCTTATGTTGTTGCTTTTGGCTGGAGTTATGCTTTACTTCTTTTTGCTGAAGTTTATATCTGTCACAGGTTCCAGAGTGCTTCAATTTGAACTTATGTAACCAGAAGCAGAAATGGTAGGCCACATAACCCTCATCCACTGGATGTTGAATGCTGGCAGTTTTCTTTCACCAAAGAACACTCCAGGGCCCTCCCTCTCCCCTCCACTTCCCTAATGTCTTAGTATTTTCTTGAAGTATTAAAATACCTAGATTTACAAATATTGTTGTTCAAGTTTTCTCCAGAAGACACGTGTCTTCATTGTCCATTTTTCATGGTGACCATCTTCTGAACATACTTGGCTACAGTGCAGGCTGATAGATGAAAATCCTGGTGCCCTCAAAGTAGCATTCAAGTTCTTGATTGTGCAAACATGTTTTCTCATGCGGCTTAGGCTTCTATTATCATTTGTTTTCTGAGCATATTTACAAAGTTATGGTTCTTATAAACAGGCATATGCTTGTGTCAGAACTGCCTTTCTCCCATCAATTTAAAGTGATATTAAAAGCAGGTTTTTTTTTTAAATAACAAACCTGTCATACTTACCTTCTCTGTGCAGTGGTTTTGCACAGAGCAGCCCCAATTCTCCTTTTCTCAGGTCCCCCCGATAGCACTAATGGCCCCACACCCCACTCTCTCCTAATTGGCTCACTGACTGTGATTGACAGTAGTGGGAGCCAATGGCTCCAGCTGCTGTCTCAGCCATGGAAGAGTCCATGGAGAGCCGCTGCTTACATGCATATCGTTGGATTGAGATGAGGCTCAGGTAAGTATTAGGGGGTTGGGTTCTGCACACAGAAGGTTTTTTTTACCTTCAAGTATAGAATGCATGAAGGTATTGAGCCTTTAGTGATGTCAGGAGTTTATGTAGACTTAAGGTCTACATAATTAATTCTATGTAGAATTAAGGTATGATTTATAGGATATTTTTAAACAAAGTATTTTATGAATGGGGGGTGGTTTATTGTTAGATGTAATTCCACTGTGATTGATGGCTAGTTAGAGTCTAGAATCCAAAGAATCCAATGTAGGAATGACCATCCAAAAACAAAGAAAATGTTTCTCAAAATCATTTTTCATGTTTTCTTTTTGTTTTATCTGAATGTCTGCTTTAAAAAGCTTTATAAAATGTGTTAGCCGAAACAGTTCCACATATCCACAGCCACAAATTTTTCTTTTCCCAACAACAGAGGTTATCAGAGAAAGTGAAACCTGAATTCAAATCCTCAGCACAACAGTGGCTACTGAAGGCTGGAATACAAGGTAAATGATATTATGGTAATAACTACCATGCTGTAGGAATCACATCAAAGGCCTGTATAAGCTCTAAAATGTTATGAACATAAATACAACCTAGTGATAATTCTAACACATACCCTTGCTTCTAACATATCAGTTTATGTTGTGGCTTACCTTGATATTGCATCAAAAACCAACCCATATATCTGTACATGTAATGTGCCACTAATAAAACTCTTTATTGCAGAAACTACAGCACTGGAGAAGTTGCTGAGCACATTGTCTATGGATCACCAATCCCAGACATCAGAAGACAAGACTACATCCCTTCCTGTCTGCAGGCCATACAGAGCAGAGTATCTCATACATCCTGACTGGAGATCAGAACAGTAAACCGCTCCTGCTGCGTACTCATATGTCCACAAGACCATGTACTCCACAAGCGGCTACCTTTAAGTAAACCTGTGCTTACCTCTAACAATACTAGTTGCTGGGTCAGTGGCTCAGAAGGAATGAAAGAGGTCACATGTTACTTTTAATACCTTTCTCCTCCACCACAGACATTGCTTATATTAGCATATATAAAAGAGGAACTGTACTGAAAGAAATATGCAGCTGGCCATTGCTGACATTCTTCTAAAAGCGCTAGTTGCCTATCTGTCTCTGACATCATAACTTTCTGAATCACTGACCCAAAACAGGCATAAATTCAATGAAAAAGTTTAGTAGTACATGCTCCTAATCAGCCTACTGGTTCATGGTCAGAGGAAAAAAAAATTACAGACTACTGGCATTTTAGAAGAGAAAAGTTAGCAGTCACAGTAAATATAACCTGTTAGTAGTCCTTTAATTAATACATTCATTAGATCTCAACAACAAGCAGATTGCTCATTCTTGCTAGGAATTAGTCTTAGGCTCCATGTACACTGCAGCTGATAAACTCACGTTTAGGAGCTTTTCTGCATATTTTTCAACAGCCCCTGAACTCTCCCTAATGTTTCCTATGTGTCCATGTACACTATGTCATTTACAGTCATTTACAGGCCATTGAGTTTACAGTCTTTTTTTTTAACGCAACAAACTTGCATTCAGGAGTAGATTTTATCAGCGATTCAAACGATTGTAAACGTGGCTAACCGCGTTTATAAGTGTTTGCGTTTGGAAATTTTTTTTTAAATCTTCCGTCTACAGATGCTGTCCAGAGCCTTTTTTCATCATGAAAAATGCATGCAAAGCATTTTCCCAGTACTCAAATGAACCTGGTACACCATAATTTGAGGTTTCGCATGACAGAAAATATGTTAGACACGGCTGCAGTAATTCCTGCACAGAAACGAGCTGGAACACATCCAAACACCACAAAAAAAAAGACAGCTAATCTCAACAAATACTGCTCTCTCTGCTTCTGCTCTCTCTATTTCTCTAAAAATGTCTGAAATAGTTTACTTTTTTACTGTTTTTCAGTGCATTCTGGGCATTTTGGAAGGTCTTCTGAGGTTATCTTTAAAAAACCGCTTCTAAACACAAACGCTCATAAACACGCATAAACGCAGTATGCAAACGTGGCTAAACAGACTTTTCCAGCAGCCAGTTTCCATTGTTCAGAAGTGTTTTCCAAACGTCCCGTGTACATGGAGCCTTATATTAGAAAAACAAACCACGCAAGACACAACCTCAGAAGGGGATATGCAATTGGGGTATAAGCTTACATGCCTCTAAAAAACTCTATAAGATTTGGAATATGAGTGATCAGACCAAACACATATTATACGTTATATAATTTTAATGCAATTTTTGGTAAACTATTAGGCGTTGCAGAATAGCACAGTAATTTATCAAACTATATCCTTAAAGCAAAATAATAAAAATGGTACTGTTCAAAAGTTTGCACACTCTTAGTCTTTAGTTTTGTGTATTTGCCCCTTTTCAGCATCAATGATGCCTTACAGTATTTTGTGATATTTATGAATGGGCTCTTAATTTTAATAAATGGTCTAGTTGCTCATTCGTCAAGGCAAAATGTCTCCAGGTACTGTAAATTTTTGGGTTGTCTAATATGAACTGTAGATGTTTATAAGAGATTGTGATGAGATATCCCCAAAGTGGGCAGCGCTTAAGAGATTGTGATGGTCTCTCTCAGAACCATAATTTTTTTATGCTACAGTCACTGCAGTATAGGGTTATCTTAGTTTTATGTTTGCAAAACATTGCCATCTTGGAAAGTCCAAGTGCTCTCCATGCACAGCTTGATGGTTGCAAATTTTCCTTTCATATTTTCTGCTAATATTCTGCATGCATCTTGGCTTCAATTTTAACTAAATTCCCTGTGCCATTGTAGTGCACACACCCCCATAACAGAAGAGATCCAACTCCATGCTTCACGGTAGCTGTACTTTCGCAATGGTGCAGGGAAAATGGCTAATATTTTACAAATTTTGCCAAGGGTATATACACTTATGGTCACAACTGTATTATATAGGTGTTGGTAAAGCTGGATTAAACTACTACTACAATAGCTCAGTATAGAGCAGTAGAATTTTAACGTGACTTAAATAGGGATATGTCTCACTAAATCGTGTTGCTGGGATTTTTAGTGATTTTCACCACAGCTCAGCTGACAAACCAGGTACACGTTAGCAGGGGCGGACTGACCATTTGGAAACCCTGGCACTGCCTGAGGGCCCGGGGTCAATAGGGGGCCCCATGAGATGCCCCTGGTACCTTTTTATAGGCTTTTTTGAGTTTGGGCAAGGACACGGGCCCCATGATCCCCTATTGCCCGGGGGGCCCCATGAGTTGTCAGTCCGCCCCTGCACATAAGATTTTTTTTTTTCAATTTTAATCTCTTTGCAAAAAATAAGTTGATCTCAGTGAGCATCCCCTTGTACTGAGATATTATAATTCGTTTGAAGTGCTTAATGCACGCTAGTAATTCCTTCCGTATCCTCTCTCAAGTGTTACTAACAATACTTACAGTAAATCTAGTAAAGCTATTCAGCTATGTGTAGCCACCAGAGAACCAGTATGTAAGCTATGCCATAAAACCAGAACTAGATTGGAGCTCTGCCATGCCCTCAGCACTATGCCCTCAACATCATAAACCAGCAGAGGGTCTTGCTTTATAAGAGTTGTGTGCCTTGGCTCTGACTTTGGAGCTTAATATTTGCATTTGCCTATAGAAAATTCTGTATTTGAAAACTCCCAAGACACCTTAGAAAATAAATAAAGGTGCTTGAACCTACTGGTTCTTGTTTTTAGCTCTGTTGAACCACACACTCCTTACTGATCACCCATTTAGGAACTAGTGATCAGGATGCACCAGGGATACCTGGCTAATCCCTCATCAACCTGCATAAACATTTACTTGAGTGCATACCCCCAAATTTATACAATTATTTGTTATAAACTCTCTACTCATGATTTTCTCTTTGTATTTTTTATTACAACCTCTTCTGCTTAGTCAACAAACTTAAGTGTTTGTTTATATATCAGGAGAGTGGAGTGTAATAAGAAAGACAAAGAAAGATGACCATGAGCAGGGGGTATTGTACTTACTGGAGTGAGTTACATTGGAGGATTTGTAAGTGAATGGAGGGATCATTTACATCATTCTAATATCTATAATTAGTGTCTACAATAGTCTTAAAAAAAATCATCTTATATGTTCTGATGGGCAGATAAAACCATTCCATTCTGTTCTTACCACCAGTGAAAATCTAAATAAAAATATGCAGATTTTAGTAAATCTTTTGGATTTTGGATATCTGTGTCCCAGGTCTTTCCGTAACAGTATACCTAGGAACTTGAACTTTACATTTGCTTCAGTTTCAAGATGATGTCTGTCAAGAATTTTAAGCAATAAAAATATTATTGCTTGGGACTAAAACACATGTCAGATAAATCACCTACCATCCATATATATGTCATTTTCTCACATCTTCAAAGCATGGTGTTCCTGGAACTTAGGAAGAGAGCTATATGTGTTTTCATAGGAAGATTAAAACTGTCTGGAATACAAAGAAATGAAAATATGTAACCTTATTATTAGTAGTAATCAGCAGAGTATACTTCTGTTACTGTCCAATCGTTTAGAAGTATTATCTATTTACTGTTTCTTTACATACAAGCAACAATATTGGCACTGAATACATAGGGGTCCATTTAAAAAGCAGCAGTATTACTATATTATTATTATACAGGATTTATATAGCGCCAACAGTTTGCTCAGCGTTATACAATATAACGGGAGACAATACAGCAACAATACAGTTCAATACAAGAGGGATAGTAGGGCCCTGCTGCTTGGAGCTTACAATCTAGGAGAATGGGCATTCTACAGTATAGGCATACAGTTGCTAAAAATATGCACATACATAAAGCACATTGATGTGTATTACAAATGTACATTGTGGCTTTAGAACTCCAGTTGAATGTGGTAAAAAAATTAAAGGGCATTTAAAAAAAAAAAAAAAAAATTCTGGGGTAAAGCCCCATCACAAATGACCATCGGAATTTACTGCCCTTCCCATTAACTTCAGCGTAATTTGCATTTAAAGTTCTAGATTGGTGAATTTATTGATGGACATGCAAAATTCAGGGTAAGGCAAATGTTGACAAGTTTACTTATCCCTAGCCACTACATTATGAAAGTTTTTATCACCGAGAAGAAAAAAAAAACCTGTTGCGCTCAAAGGACCGGATATGGCATATGTGGAAGGATCTTCGTAGACCTTAGCATTCGAACCAATGAGGCAGTGCTGTGCAGCCCCTTAAGGGGGTAGCTCAATACGGCACAAAAAAAATAAGAAAAGAAAAGGGGCGCACAATCCTTGCGCATTACCTCAATATAAACTTTAATCATACAAAGTAGCAGATGTATACTCACAAACAATGGTCTGAAATGGTGCATGAGTCCCACAAGAAAAAGGATGCTTGAGAATGGCTGATGCGTTTCGAGGAGCAATCTCCTCTTCATCAGAGGCTCGGATGAAGAGATCGCTCCTCGAAATGCATCAGAAATTCTCAAGCGTCCTTTTGCTTGTGGGACTCTTGCACCATTTCAGACCATGGACTATGGTCGGTCATATTATGCCTGTGTACATTTGTTGTGTGTGAGTATGCATCTGCTACTTTGTATGATTAAAGTTTTTATTGAGGTAATGCACAAGACTTGTGTGTCCCTTTTCTTTTCTTATTTTTTAATGACAATTTTAGTATTGTAGTCCAAATGTCCTTATTTGCCTTGCTATACGGTATAGCATGTCAATTCCTTCTCAACCTGAACTGACTGCAGAGATCCAGTTCCCTGAAAATGGCATTGCAGGTCATAAGATTCAGCTTGTTCAGTCATCTGGGGGGAGGGGGGGATATCAGGATGCTTCCTTGTGGAGCTCTGTATGTTAGAGTGCCAATTTGCCCAAAAATTATACTATTGTGAATTTGAATTGCTGTACATGGCACTCTATAGCAGGATACTCCACATTCACTTGTGCATATAATCTAATCTCTGCATGGTTTCTGTCCTATTTTCCAATGCTTTATCACAAATAACAGTAGAATGTAAAATTTGGTAGGTCTCGCTGATGTTACAATGTCCACATACTTCACTGTGTAATGTTAAGCTAATATTAAAAAGAGACCAAATCAAGTATTCCAAATATCTTTAGTGCAGGGGTCTCCAAATTCTTTAGTATGAGGGTAACATCTTAACTTTTATAAATATTTGCAGGCTGAATGAATAAACATGCTCCAAAAAATAAAGAAGTCCCCCATCACTTTTGAGTCTACCTTGCATCAGAGCCCCTATCAGAGTTCCCCTGCACATGAGGGTCCCAATTAGCGCTCCCCTTATATCAGGATCCCCATCAGAATCAGTGGCCAACTGATTTGAAATCTCATTCTGTATATAAAGGCTGAGGATATGCCATGCTTATCTGTAGAACAGATAACATCTCAAAGTGGGTTGGATATGGCCCACAGGCCATAGTTTTATCACTCCGACATCACAGAAGGTGGAAAGGAACTTCCATTCCTTTCACTCTTCACAGTGCATCCGATGCAACCGGTTAGAATGGTCCAGAGGCTCCTTGGTGAGACAAGAGAGCCGAGAAAGGCGGTGGAAGGGGGGACCCTTTTCCACTGGCTGTAAAAGTGATTGGGAGGTTTCATAGTTGCTTAGATCACTTTTACTTTGTAGGGATTTGCCTGCGGAAATGAACAATACCAGGATCATGGCTGCAGCTATGATCCTGGTATAACCAAAGAGAGGCACGGGGGATGTTCATTAATAAATAAGCTACCTCAAGCTCAAATAGGTTAGGTATGCCAATATTTAAGGGTGTAACATTTAGATGAAATGAAGAAAGTGTCAAGTCAGGTTTACATGTCTTTAGTGTATGTGATCACATACAGACCTACCAAATCTGATGATTTCTCTCATGGCAGGGCAGCCAAAATAGTCAGTGCTAGAGCTATCAGGTTGGTCTAATCTGGCAATCTTACCCTATACTGTATATGGGGAAAAACAGCAGTCACCTGTATAAATAATCCAATCACTTTACGTACACAAGGTGTAATCCAATCAAATGCACTAGAAAACTAATAACCTTATGGCTGTTTTTCATGTGTGTGGATCTAATTTTTCTTCCAAATAAATTCACCCAAAATAAAATAATGTATGTGTATATACACCCTAAATTTACTGCATTTTTCTCAGTGTTTGTCATCATGGCTAACCAAATAAAGTTTTCTCAAACCAATCATTTTTGCGTCTCTGTTGCAAAGTTTCTTACTTAATTCTGCCAGTAATAGAATTTGTTTTTTGCATGCTGGGTCTTTAGGGCTCATTCCGACAAGGAGTTTGGCCATTGGAATGAACGCTCAAGCGCCATAGACTTCTAGAGATTATGCACAGTAAGTGTTTTTTTCTGCCCAAAATCATCTCACATGAATGCGCTGGTGGTGTGTTTCTTTTCTGTAAACGCTCCTCTTTTAATATGCCTGTAAATGCCTAGGTGTGCATGGACACATATGCTTATGTAGAGGTGCATTTACAGGCAGAAAAAAAAACACAGAACGCCTGTGAAAGTCCTGTGTGCATTGATCTTAAGCTGCTGCTTTTCATTTAGCAGCAGTGCTGTCAGCTTGCTGTGCACGCTGCTATAGTTCGCCATTGGGCTATCAGATCTGCGCATAAGCATCAAGAGACACTGTAATACAGACCTGTGCAAATTGTGGCCCTGGGGCAACATCTGGCCTTTTGGCTATCCCTATCTGGCCCTTAATGCTTCCACTGCGAGTATGCCAATTTCAGCTTGTCGGCTTCTTGTGGCCCAGCTGCCTGTTTTTTACCACCCTCCGACCACCCGTCCAACACAAAATGCTTAACTTATTTTGCAAACATGTACTCAAACATTTTCAAATGGGGCTGCTAGTGATTACGTGCAGGGAGACCCAGCATGTAATCGCAAAACATGGACACTCGCATGTAATTTCTCATGGAACAGTTACCTGTGAATGATCGGCCCTGGATGCAGACAGTCTGCAGACAGACAATATAGCGGCCAGGATTAGCTGCAGGAGCTGTCAGCTTCCCATTGCTTTCAATGGAGCTGCTGCCCTCAGCTCATTGCTGGGAACCTCTGCTCTGTCTCCCGCATGTAATCACTAATAGCCCCATTTGCAAGTTTTAATGGAGCCTTTCTGTCTTCCCCATGATGGTAAAAGGCAAATGAAAGTCATCAACATTACAGAATAAGTCCAGCTGAATGTGTCAAAGTACTGCTAGTACTGCTTGCCCTGTATAAATAAGAATCTT